TTCATACATAAAATTACTAAAATGATGCTTTCACAATGGTGCGTTAATTTTTCCAGTGTGCTTACGTACATGTTCACTCGCTTGTGCCTGCCTGGCGGTTTCTTTCAGTCTCCCTTTTTGGCTCACTTTAGAGCAGAAGAAAGAAAAACAAAACAGTCGAAACATATTTGTCCCGGTTTACATAAAATTGGGGAAATGAACCAGGTAATGTGCCTAATCATGTAACCGCCTCAATGGGCATACACCTCATAGGCAACTCCTTCCCTTTTAAATGTACCACGTTATGTATACACCCATTTGTGTCTCAAAAAAGAAACGCCAAAACAACAGTGTAGAAATTGGAAATGGTGACATAAAAGGAACCAGATGATAATTTTTCCCCCCATAATATGTGCCCATGTTTGCTTGTTCAGTTGGGCGGGGGGGCAGAGAAACATGTGCTACATTTGCTTAAAAAATGTATCATTGGTGCTTCCCCTTTAATTGGATGCCTTAAAGATGGTGGCTCTAATAATGGTTGCTCTAAAAATGGCTCCTCTAAAAATGGTTGCTCTAAAAATGGCTGCTCCAAAAATGGTGGCTCTAAAAATGGCTGCTCTAAAAATGGCTGCTCTAAAAATGGCTGCTCTAAAAATGGCTGCTCTAAAAATGGCTGCTCTAAAAATGGCTTCTCTAAAAATGGCTTCTCTAAAAATGGCTGCTTCAAAAATGGTGGCTCAATAAATAGTTTAATCGTCACTAAATTGACCCTAACACAGACACAGACTTTTAGGGGGAAAAAAATTAGACCCTGTGGGGGGTTCTTACCCTGTTCCTTTTTCACGACTTTTTTTCATATGTCCTCGAATGAGGGGATTCCCAATGGAAGGGGAAGCTTCTCATCCATTATAGACATTTGGAGGACGCCCCCATTCGAGGAAACACGAAAAAGAAGGGGCTAATTTGTTTGCCAAAACGTGGGCAGGAGTTAGACCACTGGGGATTGAGATAAAGGTGTGCTGTGAGGGGAGGTCACCGTAGCTGCCTTCATTTGTGTGTATATTTGCATGATGTTGCCTATCATGCAGCATCTATGGAAGCGCATATCGTATTTGCGCTTCTTGGCCCCTATCCCCCCCCCGCCGCCGCTCTCCATCTCAGAAGGTACACAATCCACCGATTTCTTGCGCTCTTGATACCCGCGCCGTTTTCCCCATTTTGCGCACCCCCACTCGTCCATTAATTTTTTTTTTTTTTTATGGAGACAAAAATTTTGCTGCTTCTTCTCCAGTGGTGCTCGATTAATACGCATTAAAATTTTCCAAAAAGGGATAGAAATTGCTAGTCCTTTTTGAACCTTTTTCTAAAAGAAGGCGAAGAAAAAAAATCGCACCAATTGTGTGGCAATTGAAGAGGGTCATTGTGGAGGGGCACATCAAAGCAGTGAAGCGGCTAAGTCGCAAAGTAATAAACGCTTCGCACGAAGTGGTACAAGGCCCACATGAGCGACCAAAGAGAAAAAAGAAACCATTTTTATTTGTTATATGATTCGCCTCGAGAGGCACACTCACTTAGAAGATTTACCCCATCACGGGAGCGTAGCACAGGCCATTGGAAGGAGCCATTTGGCCTTTTAAGCGGAAGGCTTTCCGCCAAGCACACATTTGTTTCCATGACCATTCCACGCTTCTCTTCCCCACAGTAATGTGCTTGGTGTAAAATGTGTGCAGCCGCCACTCCGCTTTCGAATAACTGAGGCGTAAACCCCTTCCTGTTTCCAAGTGGTACGGAGCCAAGCGCGCGCAGATAACACACAGATAGGGACAACCCCGATATACGCACTCTTCGTTGATATATTTTCCCCCATCCCCTAGACCCTTTGGCTGACCATTCAACCAGATAGACCAAAATGATCGTGCGAAAGAGATCCATCAACGGGACCCCAGTCGAAAAGGGAAGGGTGAACGAGAAGAAACTACAAAATATTACGATAAAGAATTACGAAATTAACAGCAATGAAAAGAAGAAAAACTTTTTTGATTACTATGGGTGCATATACCCATTCAATATGCCCATAAGTCTATACAAGTATCCGCCCATTTTTGGGTACTGCAGTTTAAGTGACTTTCAAGAAATAGGAGCAAAGCGACTGGCCTTGTTGCAGTTCTTGGACACATGTACTATCAGCGGGGAGGAGGAAAAGGACACATTTAACTCAAAAGGGAGGTTGGACAGAGATACCTCAGTGAGTAACTACAATGATAATAAAAATAAACAAATCAGACAAAAAATATTCGAATATAAATTTGGAATTCAGTCGATGAAAAATTACAGCAAGGAAGAGATGGAAAATATAATCATGACCGATTTGTTGTCCCATTACATCTTAAGAATAGCTTTTGCAAAGGACAAAGAAAAACAGCAGTGGTTTTTAAAGCAGGAATTAAAATTATTCATATTTCGATTAAACGAGTTAAAAAATATTAATGTACTGAATTCACATAACCTTGGAGAGAGTGAAAGAGGATTAATTCATTTGTTAAAGAGGGAAGATTTAAATTACGAATTTCTTTCCAAACCAGTCATATCGTCCTTTGGGGCTAAGGATGAAGCGTGGGAAAAATATACGTCCTTCATCCCTAATAGAGATACCATCGAGAAAGTATTTAAAATTCCCTTCTTTCCAGATGCTTACTTTCTAATCAAAGATCACAAAGTGTGTGTTGATAAAGCCATCGCATACGTTCCAGACATATACCTGGACGCTATCTTAGTCACTCAGTTCAAAATAAACATTAAGGAGTCCTTCAAACATTTAGATCAAAATGAGAAATTGCTTCTTAACGTACAGAATGACAGCAGAATATCTTCCTTCCTGGCGGCATTGCCCAAAGCATATGTGGCAAAGGATTACCGCCAAAATTATGAGCACACACAGGAGACGAGGCTAATGCCACAGAATCTTTATAGTGTATATAAGCAGTCCTTTCCCCCTTGTATGCGTAGAATCTTTGTTAATTTCTTAAAAGAGAAACATTTGAAACATTGGGGAAGGCAACAGCTGTGGCTATTTTTAAAAGGGGCGGGAATGACATTGGAGGAAAACATCCACTCCAATCGATCCATATGGTTACAGCCAGACAAATTCGATAAGGAGCATAGATATACTATACGCTATATGTATGGGAAGGAGGGGAAGAAGACCGATTTTAGCCCCTATAATTGCTCCAAAATTATAAATAACTTTCCTGTTCCGTCAAGTGGAGACACTCATGGGTGTCCCTTTAAAAACTTTGACGAAAGTCACTTGAGGAGCCTTCTGTTTTTCTTTGGCCTGACTGATGATCAGATCAGGAATATCATGCCTTTGAAAAAGAGCAATGAATACCAGATGGCTTGTGTGAAGTTTTTCATGGAAATGCACCCCGGGTCGTCTGCCGACGGGGTGGGAAATCACCCCAATTCGTACTACATCGAGAGTAGGAAGTAAGCGCACGAAGAGGAAAGCTTCGAGCCGGAAGTGGGTTATCGCACGGATTGATCCCCTATGTGCACGTATGCGCCCAATCGGTCGCAACAGCTCGGCCGCGAATCTGCTCGGTCTCAACTGCTCCGCCGCTTCACCCCCATGTTCATTTCCCCCCTCCGCAGGTACTACAAATCGAAGGCAACGAACGGGACAAGCGAAACGGGTGCGCAAAAGGCGACCGCCACTTGAACCCCCTCCCGCATACGGAACATTCTGCACGGAAGCAATTTGAAATGGGGCTGCCACGATCGCCCGATGCACTACGGTGGAGCCGTAGCGCCGTGCCGTGCACCCCACGGGGTCGGCGCAGCTGTGAGCAAGCGGGAAAAAGCAAACATGGGATGTGTAATCCTGTGCATGCTGAAAAAGGTGAAAGTGGAACGTGAAATCCCGCTGATCTGCACCCCTTTGCATAAAAACGCAACTCCTTGCCCTATGTCCTTTTTTTTTGTGTGTGCGCTTTTGGCCCCCTCGCGATGCAACCCAAAATAGAAAGCAACTCAATTGAAGTGGTCCTGTTGGCAAGTCAAATTCGCCACTCATTGGGGCAACCCAAGTGACGTCGCCCCGTTTCCAAATCAAATTCGACACTTCACTGGGGGTTCTCCTCAACGAGTTGGCTAATTTGATTTAATAACTGGCAAAGCATCTGCACTTGTGAAGAGGCGGACTGATGAGGTTCCCCATTTTGCTGTAGAGTCTCCTCCGTATCGTGGCAATTAGGAGACTTCATCGAATGGGCCAGTTGATTCTTCTCATCCGAGGAGGCCGGCACGTGGAGACAATTTTGTAGAATCTTCTGGATGAAAAACTTGCACAGTTGAAAAATTTCTTTGGAGGATGAACTGTGGACATCCAAATCACAGCAGCCAACCCCATGCTGGCAAGCATCAATGAGCTTCTGATTAAAGGTTATCCTACCGGCATAGTCTACCTTCATTTCTGCGCACATTTTATCCACAGTATAGTTGGAAACAAAAACGGATTGGTACATATTTTCTATTATGCCCAAAATGGGGATATTTGTCTTTTTGCAGAATTCGATTTCTTTCTTAACGTCACAGATGGATAAAATGTGTGGAGTAGTAACTATTATGCACCCATCTAAATTATTTTTTAAATAGGAGCAGATGGTTAAGTGTTCATCGCTGGTTCCTGGGGGGGTGTCTATAATTAAAAAGTCTAAACTCTTCCAGTACACATCACATAAGAATTGTTTAATTAATCCATTTTTTTTGGGACCCCTCCAGATAACTGGGTCATCAAAATTTGGCAGTAAATATCCCACAGACATAATGGACAAATTATTTTTATAAATCGGAACCCATCCGTTCATGCTATAGTTAACATCACAGTTCACTGTTTTCGTTAGGACTGGGATGGACGGCCCACATATGTCTATGTCGAGAAGACCTACATCGTAGTTTAGGTAAGATAATGAAAAGGCTAACTGTGTTGCTACTGTCGACTTTCCGACTCCTCCTTTTCCAGATAGGACCAAAATTTTATATTTTATATTTTTTAAATTTTCTTGGACTTGATTAAAAATTTGATTTTTTTCCTTCTCCTTTTCTTTCTTCAATTCTGGATCGTTGCAGATTTTTCGATTGGGGCACCCCTCGCAGATTTTGGACTTCCCCGCTTGTTCGTTCTCCATGCCCGGGCACCCTTCTGGGATGTCTTCCCCTTCGCCAGGTGCGCCATGTTCGCCACGTTCACCCCTCTGTTCATCGCTACTGCAGATCCTTCTGCCATCTTGGGGGGGACGGGAACATTTTCTCATTTTCCATTTGCCTATGGCTCTTTCCACCGTGCACGCCAAACATTTTCGCACTTCCCTCCTGTTGGCGAATAGGTAGCTTATTGTCAATCCGGCCAATGACCCAATCAGAATGGGGATGGCGTTTCTCCTCGTGTACGCATACATGTATAGGGGCCACCTAATAGCTCTTCCTCAATGTATAGTTTTTCCAACTGCCGCATTAAGCACTGATATATACATGCTCGGAGAGGGGATAAATTGTGCGACTCACCATTTGTAGAGCCTCCCTTTGCGGTTTGCATAGATGAATGGGAAGAAACACTTTGATAAACGCTTAAACAGATGGGTGGAAGATACGCCTCCCTCGAAAAGAAACGTTTTGAATTTTGTTCCCGCACGGAGAAAATGCAACTGTGGGGGCAGTGACCTCATCTTTTTTTTTTTTTTTTTTGCCAAAATTTGCCAATTTATGTGCCACATCCAGAGAGTACGTACACGTATGGATTTCGTAAAAGGCTGATCGGGCACTGCTTCCTTCGGGTGGATTTTACCTTCAAAAAAGAAGAGAAAAAAAAATGACAAAGGAGCAGATACGTAGACGATGCAACCTCTCAACCTTTTTTTGTGCAATATATTTAAGCATCCATCAACAGCTGGGGATTTTCTCCCAATAGGGAAAGAGCTCCCCTGTTGGTGCCTCCCTTATTTGATGTTGTGGCTACTGGCTAAGGGCAGCAGCGCCCCGGAGGGGTGGAATCCCCCACCAGGAAAATAACCCCCCCGAATGGGCATTCCCCCGTTAAGGCAGATTTGTCACAACCCATTTTACTGTTAAAGAGTGGTAAGTGTTTTTTTTTTGAAAAGTCAGGGAGGGGAAAGAGAAAGTACAAATGCGACATCGACGGAGCGAAATGGATGCAAAAGGGTAAACAGCAAAAATGAGAATGAAAATAAATAGATATCTAGCTAGCTAATGGATAACCGAACAAGCGTTGAGGTGCCCCCACTTCCCCCCCTCCCCCCAAGTGGCCGTCACTCAACGGAAACAAAACTGTGCAGCAGCACGCGCGGAGTAGGGAAGACATTTGGAAAAGCCAAATGTAACGCTACTTCGACATGGCCGTCTTCGCTATGCGGGATGGAACCATCTGTAGGATTACTGCCGGACAAGAGCCCCCATTTTCATGGCGGTCAAAAAAAAAAATTAAAAAAAAAAAAATAAAATAAAGGCCTATAAAAGCCTAAAAAGGACTAAAAAACAAGTTCCCTCTGCTGAGGCCTAGAAGAGAAGCTTCCCCTGCAGACTCACACGCTCAAGGATGCTGTCCCCACACTCCTGATAGTCCGCCCGTGTGATCTGATAATTGTGATAATCGAACAGCTCCAGAAAGTAGTGAGCCCCCGAGTAGGTGGCATATTTCTGCAGCATCCTTCTCCGCACACCATGCACATTGATACAAAGGTTGCTGTAAAAGTTTTTCCTTTTCACAAAGTCATACAATTCATTTTGTAATCTTTCACGAAAGCCCCTGATGATGCTGGATCCCCCCGTGAGGTAAATATTTTGAAATAGTTCCTTTCGCGTATCGATGGGGCACCTTTGAATGGTTTCGTAAATTACACAGGGGAGGGTGCTCTCTGTGAGGGCGGAGCTCAGGCTGGCTTTCCAACTGGGGGGGGACTCCGTTATAGTCGAGTTCGGGATCCAGCTGCCAGACCCGCTCAAAGGAAATCCTTCGTTCACATCGTACGTGTGTAGCTGCTTGTACGATTCCGTTTTTAAGTAATTTCCCAAATGACATGGAGAGAAAAATATTTCCGTGGAGGCTACAGCTGAGGAGGATATTTTATTAAAGTGTAACTCGAAGGAGCTAACTAAATAATTTCGCGGATTTCGATCGTAAAGTAGGGAAAGATAACCACAGTCTTCTCTACTTTTCGGAGTGAATACCCGTTTCTCCTTTGCAATTTTTGCAGCCTCCATTGATATGTCTTTTTGGTAGCTTTTATTCTTTTTCATCTCATCGAAAATTTGATTGTCTATGTCGTACCCCCCGATGTGGTAAGTGCTTGTCAGGTCGGGCAGTGGGATTCCATTTATCACAGGTGTGCAGGTCGTCTTAGTACTTCCAATGTTGACTAGGATAGCGGTGAAATTGAACAAGTTTAAAGCCTGTAGGTTGGCGAGGCACTCCTCCGGGTATGGCCCCTGACCCCCAGGGTATGATTCCCTCCCCACTATTTTTTTCCGCGGTGAGGTAAGTTCTCTTTTGCCTTTTTCGCCTCCCGTTCCGACGGTATCACCGGCGTGGTCACAATTTGTAGGGGAGTCCTTCTGATCATCTCTATAAAGTAGGACCTCACGCCCGTGTTGCCCCTCCTGTCTTTCCTTCGCCAGGTTCTCCAAAATGATAAGTGAAGAGAGAAAGGAAGGCTCCCTAAAGGTCACACTCTGGACTTGAAATGTGTCAAATAGGATATCCCCCAGGGTGGAAAAATCATGCGTATTATTTGTGCTAGAAAAGGGAATAAACAAATCTTTGTCTTTTAAATTTATTTTGTAAAAATTACTGAAGCAGTGGAAAAGACACTCTTCCACAATATCGTAGTTCTTATATGGAGGGTGTGCATAACCGAGCTCCTTCCATGGTTCAATCAATTCCATTTGGGGTACCCGCAAGCTTTGTAATTTGCAGTCGTACTTATTTATCAGTCCAACTTTGAAAGAATAATTTCCCAGAGACAACAGGACGATATTATTTTCTATCGGCAGGTAACTGTTAAGCTTTTGGATGTCGCTACATGTCGTATTTGAGAAGCTACTGAAGCTTATTCGTTTGTAGAGTTTTTTTTTTTTTTCGCTCGACGGGGGGGAGCTGCCTAAATTGACATATGGTCCCAGTGGGTCCTTCAGCTTGAGGTACAGACTCTCCGTTATGGGGCTGTACGTGGCAGTTTTCCGCCCCTCGCCTTGCCCCTTCATCGGGATGGCGTGAACACGGTTCGTACAATCTACCGAATCGGCCGAGGGGAGGAAGGGTTGCCCCCGTAGACTTGCGAATGCTTTTTCGACTGTCTTGCCCTATGCAATCGGAGTTGAGTCCAGTACACACACGTGCTTCGAACCCCACTGCCGTATGAATATTTCGACCGTGTCGGTGTCCCCCTGCTTCGTAGGTTTATCTAGCTTTGTGCTTGTCCCCTTTCTGCACACGGAACAGGGCGTGATGAATTGCGCAGCTACCATGGGTACATTTTGGCGAAGCAGCAACTGCTTGTCGAGGCAATCGCTTATCGAAGCAGGAGCTCTTTTTAGAAACTCTGTCTTTTTTTTTCCGTTCCTTTTTACCCCCACCCGTACGAATTTATCCAATCAAGTCCCAATACTAACGCGCCAGCAAGGAGCCCTCTTCCTTCATTTGAAAAGGACGCGGGAGAAGCAAAAAAAAATGTAGACTTACTACAACGAATCGGTGTGCATTTTCCGATTTGGAAAAAGTAAATCAGCAAAATTACGTATATTTATGTGTTTTCTTTTTAATTAAAAAGACCTTTTTTTCTATAGGGAGAAAATCAAAATTGGCCAGAGACAACTTTTTATGTGCAAAAAATTGCGCAACAAAAATGACAAAAAAAAAGAAAAAAAAAAAGTGACGGAAAAATGCTCGTAATTGAAAAAGAAATGATTCAAAAATCACATAATCCTGCAACACTGTTTCCTTTTAAGTTTCTTGCTTTGCTTAAATAACTGCTTAGTCGTACCTGAGAAAAAAAAAAAATCCGTGTGCGTGGATCGGAGAAATGAAGCGGTTAAAGTTAAAGAACTAGCTGCATGGAAGGGCTGAGCAAAGAGAAAATGTGCAGATCATCCTGGCCTAGAAGAGATAGGCCCCATCGTCCCCCCCTTTTCCAAAGGGGAGAATAACGATCTGGTGAATTTACTCGAAAGATCCTTGCTCTTGTCGACGAGGACATCCAAATTTTCCCTGTTCCTGATGAGTGCGTCCATAGTTATTCTCACTTTTTCCTGCGAAACGGAGGAGGGGGAAAAGGCAAGAAAAAAAAAAATAATGTACACTGCTTCCATTCTTCATGGCGCCTTCAAAGGGCAAGACTTAGTCGAGATGTCGGGCTCCTCTTCCCTATCCAGCTTGCAGACATAAGATAAAATGAGAAGGGGGACGCATATGCCTGTCAGACCCTTCAGGAGGGGGCCCAAACAGATACGCTTCCCCCAATGAGTCTCTTTCACGTTTACAATGTTCTCGCTGATTTTCATGTTCGTCTGGGCTATGGCATCACAGGTCAGTGGGTCCTAAGAGGGAAGGAATATCACCGTCCAGTGTTGATACCTCTTCATGCACGGAGCTCATACGTCTCCGTGGAGAACGAGTTAACTGTGCACATGTTTGGGAGGCAACTGTTTCGTTTTGTTTCCTTTGTTTTCCTTTTTTTTTTTTTTTTAAAGCCTTCTCAATATGACTCACCTTATACTTGGACAGATATGAATTCAAATTAAAAGCAATTTTGTTGTCCTCCTTCACCTCCGACCACACATCTTTCGGAATGGTGCGAATAAAGTCCATGTAAATTTCGTTAATCATGTAGAAGGCCACTCTGTGTCAAAGAAAAAAAAAAGGGGAAATGCATTTCCCTCCTGTTTTCAACCCCTTAACAAAATGCGACGCAGAAGATGGAGGAAAAAAGAAAAACAAAAAAAAATTACCTCTCTGGGTAATCCTCCGTAGATATTACAACCGGGCAGATATTATCCGAAAATTTGATTGCAAAGACTGTGTTGCTTTCATGTGTGATGATTTCCTTCGTGTTGTATTCGATCTGCACGGAAGGGGATAGTAACAAAAGGGTGATCGGAGAAAAGGAACACATGTTGTGCGTTTTATAATGCAATGCAGTGGGCGGTACGCGGACACCCCAACAGATGCGAAGGCGACATCGCCGTCTTTGCCAACCCTTGACGGAACCGTCCTCGCTACAAAAAACGCGGCTTCTTTGAAGGCCTTCTTTTTTATAAAAGAATATCTGCATAATGGCAAGAAAAGGGGGGTGGAGGGGCAAAAATAATAATGGGGATCACATGAAGAGACGAAGGTAGCGAAGTGGGGGGCGGGTACCCAACTACTCATATAATGCACTCCGCAGAAATGCAGGCTGCCATGAGATGCCCATTTGAGGAGCTCCTTCACGTGCGCGAAATTAGGCCCATGTAACGAGCGTCCCTTTTAAATTGTGCCGTTTAGAGGGCGCACTTTTAAGAGGGCCGCTTAAACGGGACCGCTTTGTCTCTCTTCCTAACGCATTTAAGTCGGTGGCGGAACAAAGGAAAATGATATCATCTACATGTCTCGTTAGAATAATGGCTAGTAAATTCATCTTTATTTGGCAAGAATGAAAAAGGCAGGTTTAAGAAGGGGGCAACAGGGGGGGCATTATCTCAGTTTGGAATTTCGCTGGCTCCTGTACGCATAAGCGTATGTACACACTAGTACATACATACATATATATATATTAATGTATGTATGGAGGGCAAGACTAGGACATAGCGAAAGCGAGGAGAGCTTTTTCATGTGAAAAATTTGACCAGAGTAAATTAATAAATTTGCGTGTGTACACTCGTTGCCAGTTCGGAGGTTAAAAATACAGTTTGTCACGGACCATGTGCAATCAAATGTGCGGAGACACGCAGGGGGAACAGCGCGTCGCGCAGAATAATTTCCATAGATCGAGGAATCGAAATATACGGAAAAATATCGAATGAGATGAGGTTATCCTTAATAAGGGTTATCCCCCGATGTGGCCGGTTAACGAGAGAAGGCAACGAAGCGAAACGATGCAGTTTTTTTTTTCTTTTTTTTTTTAAATCTCCAAGCGGAAAAAATAAAAACAAGGTTAAAAAAATAAAAGAATAAAAAAATAGGAAAATACATAAATAAAAAAACAGAACAATAAAAGCAAAATTCACTTTTGCGTATTTTTCCCCAAAATGGGATAGTTAAAATGCACACTTTAAAAAATTCAATGAACATAAGAATATATATATAATATATATATCTCCAGAATCGGTAACCACGTATACGTTATGATGGCATTAAATGCCGGAAAATAAACACCCCCTCCCTCCCCCTGAAAATTTAATCAACAGGGGAAAACTACACTGTACTTCCCCTCGCGCAAAATGACGCGAATTCTGTGCCCCACCTTTTGGCAACGTTATTTGCCAACAAATGAAAGACGCCGCGCACACTTGAATTTTATGTGACAATGACGCTTCTTTCCGCACCATTGAATTTTTATTTTTCTGTCTATTTAGTTGACTATTAAATGGACGCCACGGACATTACATATAAATATATCATGTACGTATTATATACACATCGTTTTTCACGTTTTTTTCCCGTTTATTTGTCGTTTATTTCTCGTTTTTTTCCCGTTTATTTGTCGTTTATTTCTCGTTTTTTTCCCGTTTATTTGTCGTTTATTTCTCGTTTTTTTCCCGTTTATTTGTCGTTTATTTCTCGTTTTTTTCCCGTTTATTTGTCGTTTATTTCTCGTTTTTTTCCCGTTTCTTCCCCGCTTTTTTCCCGTTTATTTGTCGTTTATTTCTCGTTTTTTTCCCGTTTCTTCCCCGCTTTTTTCCCGTTTATTTGTCGTTTATTTCTCGTTTTTTTCCCGTTTCTTCCCCGCTTTTTTCCCGTTTTTGCCTCGTTCTTTCCCCGTCTTTTTTACATAAAAAAAAACAACATCGCGTGCTGTCAGATCAGTTGCATTTATTGCCATGTGTTAAATACATCTGCGGGCAACCAGCTTGGCAAATGCCGCGCGCAGCGTTGAAGCAACTTTTGTCTTTTTTTCCTGAGCGAGGAAAAGAAAGCGTTTTGAGATGGTGGGGATGTCACTTCTGGGCGAATCCATAAGTCGGCTTTGGCGTCCCTGTTTGCAGCCCTCTACATTGACGAAGCGGTTTGTATATTATCGCAACCTTCGCTGGAAACAGATCCCAAGTTGTGGGGGAGCCACGCCTGCATGAGACCGAAGAATTTCCCCCTTCGGCGCTCCAAACCGGGCCAGACACAACTGTGACAACTTCGTTTTTTGCCCTCTTCATTGGCGCCATTGCCAGTGCATGGATTGACAGAACGAGGGAAGTTCTCGCGTCCTTGGTGTGTCTTCTTGGATCCATTTTGTCACTCCATGGTTGCATTATACCATTCGGAGGTCCATTTTATCACTTGGGGGTCCATTTTATCATTCGGTGATCTGTTTTCTTGCACGGACGTTGTTTTTTCCGGTTCAGACATCCCTTTTCACGCTGTCCGGCGCCCACACAAGATGCCCTTGCAAAATGAAGCTCGAGTATGGAGGTACGAAGAGCTTCAGCAAATACATGTGGCTAAAGGACCAGAAAACACCGCTGAGTTACAACGAAAAATATAGCGCAGAGATAGAGCAAGCAAAGAGGAAGGATAACAAGCATAACGGCGAAGACTCGAGGCACAGTCGCCCTCTGTTCACCAACTGTCATTTTTACATTGACGATTTTGTAAGTCTCCTTTCGATTTACGACTCGTTTAATAAGGGCCACAGCAGGTATGCAGAAGATGAGGGGCAGATGGAGAGGGAGAGCCCTTACCAAAGGACAACTCTGCACAGGGGCGAGGGACACAAAGGGGGCCTCCATAGCGAATGGAATAATTTCACCAACCCTGCGGAAGATAGGACAGTAGACAGGTATGACAACAGCCTGAACAGTCAGGCGAAATGTAGTACGCCCTATAACAGCTGCCACTTCGGGGATAACAATAATTATGTTAACTCCTGGAGTAATGACTTTGAAAGGGCACAGTTCACAAAGCTACACGATCGCCCCGTTGAAGAAGAAGAAGAGATAAATTTAGACAGGACTCCAACAAAAAGCACCCACTACGATTCGGTAGAAAGTTTGGAAGATAAATATACAAGTAGGGAAAGAAGCGAGTTTGATACCCTGATGAAAAGCTACGAAAGAGTGTCCACGCCTAAGCGAATTGTTCGTGCTTCCTACATCAACAAGAAGGAGGAGATAGAAATAATGATTATACAGAATGGGGGGTTTATACATAATGCCTTAACAAGCAAGGTGACTCACATAATTAGCAACAATATGGCATTAGGGTCAAAGAAGTACATGGATTATAAAAAGGGAATTAAAAAGTCGAAAGTTTTTATCGTGGAAGACAGGTACATTTTCGATTGCGTGAAATTTCAGTGCAGATTTCCCGAGCAGTCCTACTTACCTTCAGTGCTACGTAATAACTGTCGACAGATAACTGAATTCTTTCCATTGAAAGGGTGGAGGGGGCGCACCAGTGGGCAAGTGCGTACAGCGGGGAAGATGCCTTCCTTAGTTGCTTCCTATTTGCGTGCACCGAAATGCATCTCCGTTTCGGCTCACTGCGAGGAGGGAGGCGACTCTATTCTGAGAAGTTCTTCGAAAAACGGTGTAATAGGTAATGACTCCTTTTCAGTGAAAACCCCAAGGGATCGCATACCCATCGACAAACACTTGTTAATGCTTAACATGCATATGAGCTATGCAAATGTGAAGAAGTTCATTGTGTGTAACTCGTCTGAGTATTTCAGAAGGCTGCGCAAAATTTACCTGAAGAAGGAATTAAAGGAAAACGCCTTCCCCGGTGTGGGTCCCAATCTGTACATCAACAAGAACACGTTTGAAGAGTTTTCGAGGAAGCATAAAATATTGAGTCACCTGAGTGAGGAGGAGATTAACTGGATTAAAAAAAAGAGCCATCTGAATATAAATGTAAAGAACGTATGGGAAAATGACATGGTTCATTTTTTCTTCAACATTGTGTTGAAGAGGAATAGTCAGCAGGAAGTGGGCTCTCCAACAGTCGCTCCAGTGGAGGGGAGAGCAGATGGGGAGGAGCAAGCCGAGCGGTTCGACAGCAAGAGCGAGGATGTTAGCAATGCAGGAGGAGAAAGCGGCGGAGGAGGAGAAGAAAGCACAAGACAAAGCGGACGAGGAGAAGAAAGAGTAGGACGAAGCGGGGGAGGAAGCGAAAACGGGCATAACCACCTCTCCACCGAGGGATATGTCGCGGAAAAACTAATCAAACCCGTGTATGACTACCTCCACAACTCCAGGCTATACATTCTGGGAAACTGGAACTACCTAAGTCGCGAGTTTTTTAAATTTGAAGACATAAACGAAAAGGACAAGCGGAAGTTCGTCTACATCTACATTGACTTCGACAACTACTTCCTAAATGCAACTGTCAACGGCGCATGTGAACAGTCTGGAAAAAACAGAAAAATAGGCAGCCACGAAATATTATGTGTGTGTCACAGCTTGAAGAAGGAGGACAGTTATAGCGTTATAAGTTCTACCAATTATTGGGGCAGGAAAAACAAAATTCGCAAGGGGATGTTAAAAAGGGAAGTCACCAAAATGCATAAACAAAACATACGATTTGTGAAATATGATTTTTCCAACATCCTAAGGTGTAGTTATTTGTTTCTACTCATCCTCATGAACTACTCAAAAAATGTGAGGGTATTATCAATCGATGAGTCCATTCTGCAATTATTTTACCAAACTGAAGAGGAGATTTTCTTGACGGCTAAAAAGATAGCGGATGATATTTACAATTTGACCAAGCTTAGTGTGTCGATAGGAATTTCCTCCAATTTGTCCATGTCTAGGAAAGCTGTAGCGTTTTGCAAAAAAAGGTTTCTATTTCTTGATTATTACCATCATTTTTGTATATTTATCATGGGGAAGTATTTCCTCGGGGGGGAAACAAAGGAGGAAACAAAGGGAGAGATAAACCGTAAGGAACATGTCAACAGTATCACATCGGAAGGTAATTTTGAGAAGGAACGCGCGATGCAAGAATGTCACCTGGATTCTGTTAGGGGTGACCAGAAGGGAGCGGCACGTAACGAACAGGGGGACGATCTAGTCAGGGAAGAGAATTACGCCGCTGAGCGGCACCCACCCAAGAAGGCTCCATTCAGTTCAGCAGAGTTGAAAAATCTGTTCGATGAGTATCTCGCCTCGGCTGTCGCGGCAAGCAACCAAGTTAATTCCACGTCTGAGTCAACCACGTCTGAGTCAACCACTTCTGAGTTAACCACTTCTGAGTTAACCACTTCTCACTGCACCACTTCTCACTGCACCGCTTCCAACCTCTCCGATTTGTACTTCCTAGACGCCATGAAGGACAAAAGGAACCCACAGGTGGATTCCATTTTTAACATGTTTGTCCAAGCCAACCGATCCAATTTGGAACACATAACGAATACCTTCTTCGATCGGATCATCCACCCGATAAGTAGATTCTTCTTTTTCTACAAAAAAAACGAACACTACTTGGACGTATTAAGACAGTTAAATTATTCTAATGGCCAATTTGTTCATTTCAACATTTATTATTTGCCTGTGGATGGGAGAGCACCTGCCTTAGCAGGTGATGACCTGTCGGAAGACACTTTCATAAAATTAAAAAGAAAAGATTGCGATCGAATTGACGGGAAAAAGTGCGCAACTGTAAGTGTGAACTATGGAGTACGCTTCCAAAACATTAACGATTTTTATTTTCTCATTTATTATATGGCAAAGCAGTTTTATATCCGATTAAGGATTAGAAAGCTCAAAGCCAAGGATCTAGATGTGTATTTTTCTATCAGGGATGAAGAAGAAGATGTGAATCTGGTGAAATATTTGGGGCAGGGAAAGGTCAACAAATTCATCCGCAAAATTGAGCTCAGCCATTACACAGACAGTTTTTTTGTATATTTTTTCAAAGTGATTTACCAATTTGATTCCCTGGTTAGCAGCTTAAGCGACATCAGGGGCGTTCAAATGGTGTGCTCCGACGTTGTGAGCGTCGAAGCGTTCCACAACCTTGGCATTAGAAGCATTCTGTCCTACTTCCCCGTGGGGGGGAAGGGAAACATGAAGGAAGTGCAAGGTGCCACGTTGGAGGCAGCGCAGGGGGCCAAACTGGATACAGTACAAGGGGCCAAGTTGGAGGCAGCGCAGGGGGCCAAACTGGATACAGTACAAGGGGCCAAGTTGGAGGCAGCGCGAAGGGAGAAGTTGGATACAGTACAAGGGGCCAAGTTGGAGGCAGCGCGAAGGGAGAAGGTGGAGGCAGTACAAGGGGCCAAGATGGAGGCAGCACGAGGGATCAAACTGGATCCAGTACAAGGGGACAAGCTGGATACAGTACAAGGGGCCAAGTTGGAGGCAGCACGAGGGATCAAA